TAGTCGAATAGTGTAGCTTTCAGACATCGAACTGAGTAAGGATCCCTCACCCTATTCTTTATCATCGAATTGAAGTCTAAATAAATAATAATACGGTATTTTATGTGAATTTAGAAAATGTGCAAAATTAATTACGGATTACTAATGGAGCCAGAATCGAAAATTATCTACTGTTGTTTTGTTAAATTATTTTTACAGCTTAAATGCATGATAGTACCTTATTAATTGATTTTATGCCTTTGAATGCATATATGGTTTATTCTATGTGTTTACTGTTGAATCAGAAGAAAAAAATGAAGGTTAAACAGTAAAAAAAATTTTGTGATTAAGTGAATAGATGAAACAGCAGCCTTATTGGATATCTTGGGAGATGGTGGATGGACCGGGTACATCGGGAACCCTATCGTGAACGTTGTCTCATATCGAATAGGGTATGGAGACTTGATAATTTGACGCTCATAGCAGACGGGGTATGGGGACGACCCGCTTCACCCTCATACCGGATGTGGTATTGAGATTTGGTAATTTGCGCTCATACTGAACGGGGTATGGGGACGATCCGCAATTGAGAATGTTAAAAGAAATGGTTCACATGTAGCGGGAACATTCCCATGAACCCCCATAGATACCAGCAGGCTGGTAAAAAAAAAGAGTGACAGTTATTGTTTGATTTATTGATGATGGATATAGATTTGTAATATGTGTTATGTTGTTGATTATACATGTAATCATGATCTGCATAATATTATTGTCTGTATAGGTTGTTTTTATAAATTTCAATACGGTAAGTGGACGATAAACAGTTTTATGATCGGTAAATGAATTTGCTAAATTTAGTGCTCTATTTGTGTTTTTTGTTTTCTATCAACTTTTACTTCTGTGTCGATGATATAGTATGATATTCTTACTAAGCTAGTGTAGCTCATCATTTATTTAATAATTTTAGATCAAGAGAACCAAGTTTCAGATCCCGATCCGCAAGATGATTGCGAATACATGCTAGTTTTTTTTATTTTCCGTTCATTTCTTTATTTCTTGTATTTTTTTTTTCAAAAGACTGAATTTCGTAACACTGTTTAGTTTTTTAAGTTATTGTGTAAGGAATGTAAATCTTGAACATTTATTACACTTCCGCACTTAATTTATAATTTATTTCTTTTTATATTTCCAGGGTCGTTACAATTTTATTTTTTATTTTAGTTATTATTTTATTTTATTTGCATTTTAGTTTTTATTTTATATTTTATTTTATTTTATTATTTTTATTTTTTTAATTTAAGCACAGTCTTTTTATTGTTTTGTTTATTTACTTATTTTGTTTTATTTTATTTTATTTATTATTATTACTTTTTGTGAGGAGATTATGCCCTTTCTTTTTCTATTTTTTCAGTTGGTATATGAGTTGGTCGAATAACACAAAATTATTTCCTATAAATCTAGAGATCGAAAAGACTTGTAGACAATTAAATCGAGAGAGAAGAGAACATTTAGCAATAGAAAGACAAGCAAGAATTGAGATGGTTGAACATGAAGAAATTGGATGAGCAGAGATGTTTTGAATGAGAATAATGGGAGAGCATTGAGGAACTTTGCTACTCCTTCACTTGTAGGAGCTTCATCCATCATAGTTCAACCGAGTGTTAAATGCTAACAACTTCGAGATTAAACCTGCCATCATTCAAATTATCCAAACCTCAATTCAGTTTGGGGGTTTACCAAATGATGATCCTAATGCGCATCTCTTTAATATTTTATAAATTTGTAATACTTTTAAACAAAATATTTTTTCTAAAGATGCAATTAGACTTAAGACTTTTTTTTTTTTCTTTAAGAGATAAAGGTAAGAGTTGGTTGCATTCTCTTCTTGCATGTATAATTACTATATGGGAAGATCTAGCTCAAACATTTTTGGTTAAATTCTTCCCACCAGTCAAGACAAGGATGTGAAATGATATCATAAGTTTCTATCAAAAGAATTGGGAGATATTGTATGAGGCATGGGAGCGACTCAAGGAGTTAATTAGAAGATGCCATCATCATGGTTTATCTAAGTGATTGTTGGTCTAAATATTTTATAATGGATTGAGCCAATAAACCAGGATCACAATCAATGCAACTACTGGAGGTTCTTTGATGGGGAATGTATGATACTTATGAGCTATTAGAATATATGCCCACGAACAACTATCAATGGCCAACAGAAAGACTTCAATCCAAGAAAAATGTTGGATTATATGAGATCGAAGCTTTAACAGTTCTTAATGCAAAAATTGATTCTCTATTTAAGAAAATTGATCAAAAGAGTGTTAATGTTGTTAATTCTCATGTGCAGGGTGTATTTGAAGATCCATTTCAAGGACACGAGGCAAAGCAAATGAGTTTTATAGCTGGATAGGATAGGCCACCATACAATCCACACTCCAATACATATAATCTTAGGATGAGAAATCATCCAAATTGTTTATAGAGGAATCAATAGAATGTGGTCAGGCCTCCCCCAAGATTTTAGCCTAAAGAAAAGAAGCCCTCACTTAAAGATATGATCGTAGCAATTCACAAGAATATAACAGAGTTTGCAACAAAGATTAAAGCAACCATTCAGAATCAATAATTAATGGTGTAAAATTAGAAGTGTTGATTAAGAACTTGGAGATCCAAACGGGTCAATTAACAAACATGATTAATGGAAGAGCTCAAGGTACCCTGCCAAGTAACATAGAGACAAATCCAAAAGAACAAGTCATGATGATCACCTTGAGAAGCAAGAAACAGTTGGTAGATATAAGAAAGGATGAAACAGCCATAGAGAAAATGGTTGAAAAAGAA